TCATCGTTGAGAATGTCAAGTTGTACAATCATCAAGAGTCGTTAAACTCACGCAGACATGCTTTCAATCTGCCTGACATTGAAACACCAGTATCTCTTAGCTGTGGGGATAGCAGAAACAAAAAAAGCAGGGACTAGTAAACCAGAACTAATCCTTTTGCAAAAGACCACATTGCTGCAGATCTGTACAGGTATGTTCGTCTCCGATTGCGTATTGGGTGATAGCAACAATCAAGTTGATTGAAGTATGCTGGTCAACCACAATGACAAACCTTTTGCGCAACTGCTCATTGACGGCCAACAACTTGCCTTCATTGCCAGCATGAACATCTAACTCCAATTCCAAAGTCTCCACCTTCTTGATGAGTTCTACATCATTTATTCCAGCACTCGTCATCTCTTCCACATTCCTCGTTGTAACACCTGCTGTTGAGGTCAGTCTTCGTGGAGTGAAGCTTACTATTCCCCCTCCAGCGACCCTCGATGGCGAAGAGAGACGGCAAGAGGCAGCCTCAACTCTGTCGCCTGCGCTTACTCTAATTGGGATGTTTGGTTGCTCGAGGGGCCATTGGCATCTTACGTTCGAATTCCACTTTGTTATGGTCGGTACCTTCGTGGGTGAGTGCTGAGAAATGCCAGGACGTGGCGAAGGGTGCACACTGAAGCGGACTTGGGAGCACATGGAGCTGGCGAAGGGGGACACGCAAGCATGACCCCGAGCAGATTTAACAGGTGAACTGCTCAAAGAAGTAGCGCTTCTTTCACCCGAGCCACAGGATTTTCTTGAAGTATACCTTAGAGGTGGAGACCCCACGCAATGAAGTGGAGCTGCAGAGTTGAGCTCACAATACCCCAGCTGTGCCAAGCTGCTCAACACCTGATTCTCAATTGTGCAGGGAGATGTCTGGCATGATTCGTGTGCCTGATTCACTTTGTCTTGGGATTTCGCATCTATTTTATCATCGACTTATCCATAAGTCTTTTGTGGAAGATCTTATTAAGCTATGAGGACGATACTAAGTTGCTTAGTTTACAAAAGCCTAGTCAGTAATCCAATATTAGTAACATAAGACATGGATGCCTAAAACTAAGTCTCTTGGCTACTCATCTCAGCGGTTTCAGATGTTTTTAACCCTTCAAAATGATTGCATGCAATCTGTTGACAAGATCTCACATGTTGGATTTGATGAGAATAAACCCTTGCGGGCTTACCATTACGAAGCTGTGTAGGGTTCAATATTGTCCTTGCTTTGAAATCATCTCCAGGTTCGCGACGAGTCACCGTGAATCTTCGTCAGAATTCAAGTTCGCGAGCAAACTTTTGCACGTGCACGTGAAGGTTTCGGATTCACAAGCTAAAATCCAACATCACATCACATCACATCACTCATGCTTTATCAGGTACCCTTGCTGATGGGAGCTGCTTACAGATGGATTAATCAAGTAGCGATGCCGTGACCACCTCTTCATACACACATTTGTGACACCTCGTCATTCCGCAACAGGAGAAAGATGGGGTAAGTCTCGCGAGGCTGAGGAGCTTCTGCAAGACTACCATCAAAGCGACCCTTTACTTTCATCATCCGAAACTAATTCCTCAAAACTTTCTACAGCAACTGCCAAGAAACTTTTCAAACAAAAAAAACCGTGAGTTGAAAGACATTGAACTGGCTCCCCAACTTCCCCTGAAACCACACTTTTGCATACCTGCAGCCCTAAACTGTGAAGCACATCATGCCTCCAAAGTAGATAGGAGAGAGACAAAGCTTTAAAGATCTGAAGGGGTGATTCGAGTAGCAAAAAATGGTGGTGCACATCTTTCGATCAGGTTTGAGCTAACAGATCAATTGGGTAACTACCGACAGATTGGCTAGATGTATTCACTTCTCCTATTGCGAGCTGATCTCAGGAACTGATACAGTCGGTAGAGAAGACTGTGGAAGCATATGCTGTTTCCCTGGTTGGCAAATATACAAGATAAACGGCCTTGAGCTGAAAAGTCGTGCAGACTCTGAAACCATGAATCAAGTTACAACATTTATTCTTGTGAACCCAACTCGTGTTTTGCGCTTTTACTTGTCTGTTTTGTTCGATTTGTCGAGATGGATGCTTCACGATTAAACCTTGGTTTTGTGAACCATGCAAAACCATACACAAAGAAGTTTATCAATGTTGTGATTTGTAGAATTTGAAGATAAGGTTGGTCCCTGTGCATAAAAGCATTCAACCTATTTATAAGTTTTGAGGTGTGAAGGACATAAAGACGATTGGCACCAAAACCTTTTAAAAGTATATATATATATATTTATATTTATATACCGACACAAAAGATAGTACAGTATATACTTGATTCTTTATATAATCTATTTTATTTTCAAATGTACAAAATTTGTTTATATATAAATACAATATTAGAAACTTCTAATAATATAAATTAAAGTTTGTCTCTTTTTATTTTAAAACCTTCATAGTGTCATTTTTAATTTTTAATTTTTAATTTTTAATTTTTTTAGATTTTATCATTATAAGTTGTGAGTATTTATGTTTGATAGAAGATAAGAGGCTACAAATTTCAAACCTTGTAATTGGTTTAAACCTAGAAGTTTTTCTTAGTTGGTTTTATATGTTAGAAAATCACTCAACAAGCCATAAGAAGAAAAAGATAAGATAGAATGCATTTTTTTTTTTTTTCTACATAAAGTAAATACTATTATTTCCAAGAATTTGCGTTTAGATCCACCTTAAGAAATGGTTTTTACAAAACTTAAACAGTTTGTATGAAAAACACAAAATTCATCTATTAATATATTTTTCTAAATTGTATTTTTTATAATTTTATAATACAATACAAATCTCTGTATTTATAATTGATTTTTAAAAAACCATTAGTCCATTTAATGGCTTCTTTTTACTACAACAACTCTTAAAATCAAGAATTTCCAACAAATGATATTTTTTTAAATAAAAGATTTCCATAATTTTTTTGAACCATAGCTTTTCAAAATGAGCTTCTAAGTTCAGAAATTTTCTTAGTATAAAGTACATGATTTAACCAATTAAAAAGTTAAATATATATGTTTCATCATGGTAGATTTTTCAATTATTGTGTGTTATTTGCTTTATTTTTAAAAAATTTAAGTATTACAAAAACATATTTGAGTTTTAGAAATAATATGAGTGAGTTCAAATATTAATATCAGAAAGTTCTTTACATACCTTAATGACATGTTGCAAGCACTTCAGACACTTATCAAAAAAATTAAAAAGTAAGTTGTGATTCATTTATTCTAGAATAAGTAACTTGAAAATGGCTTTAAAGTTGTAAAGTGTCAAAGGTTAAAAACTTTATTTTATTCATTAACCAATTCTATTATTAAAAGATACTAATAAAATTCAAAATTTTAATTTTTAAAAAAGCCATTGACATTGGCTTTAAACTTGAGTATAGCCTAATGTGGGTATTTGACAGAAGTGCTTCCAAGATAACTTATATATCACAAAAAAAAACTGGACAAAAACTACCTAAAAAAAATCAGAAAGCTTCAAATTTGATGTGTCAATTTTATGTTTTTGCTATTTGTACATTATCAGCAGGTATCAGTCTAAAATTATCAATAAATGTTGAGTTGATGATGCAATACTGTCTAAATTTCAAATTTTTAAAAGTTAAAATTTTAAAAATATATGAAGTTTTCAATTACATTTATTCTATCTAATTATTTGAAAGAATCATGATACTACCTTTTGCTTTAACTACTTTAAAAAAAAGTTATCTAGGATGTTTGAAGTTTTCAATGAACCAACCAAGTCGCACCTCATTGGCATGTCAGCACCTAATTTAAAAAATTAAATCTCCTGAAATAATAGCACGATTATTTATTTTTAATTTTTTTTTTCAGTAACAAATGATAACAATGAATTAATAAGACCTCCAATCCTCTCACTCAATTACCAAAATCTATCAGAATCAAACTATTTGACGATACAATATTTTACACAAAAAATCATAGACACACAACACACAAAAACTAGAAAAAATTGCAAAATTGTCTTCAATTATTTCAAAACTGAAAAATAAATAAATAAATAAATAAAAATAAAAAACTCAAAGATTTTTGGTGTAAATCACCATTATTATTATTTTTTTCTCTCAATTATGGTTTTCCCAAAAGGTGCTTAAAATACTATCAAATGTATATTAAACCCACTTAACTCATCCCACAAGACCAACCTTTGGACACGATGTAGAAGCCAAAGGAACACACCTTTTTTTCGAGGCACTGAGCTTTAAAGTACGCGATGCTTTAAAGTTGGCTCCGAGAGATTCTCGTGAGCTTAGGGACACAAAGGTCTGATGGCGACTATGGGCAGGTCTGATGACCGGCGCTGTATGCATGAACGAATCCTCACATCATGACTGGCACCGGGCAGCGGCCAACACGAGAACCGACCCGGACCGGATCGGCCCGAGGGAACCCGGTCGCTCGCGGATTTCATAACTTTTCAAATATTCTGAACCTTGTTTCTACGTTGCTCAAGTTTTGCCGTCTTGCGGCGACGACGACGACTAGGACGACGAAGAAGACGACGAGGATTATAATCTTCTTTTGCTCCCTGGATCTCATCGCCGTTGTTCCCAAGTATCGTCTCCGTCATCTGCGTCTTCTTCTTCTTCTCTTTCCCTCTCGCTTCATTGTTTGTTTGTTTGCTTGCTTGTGTTACGGTGAGCTAGTTGTTACAACGCGATCCCGTCTCCTTCCTCTTTCCATACCCCGTGCCATCGCTTCTCTCCTTGCCGGCGTCCAGCAATTGAAGTTGCGTCGTAGCGTGTGGGATTTTACGAGCTGCCATGGCTGCCTGCACCGCACCGTCCG